AGCCTCCCCAGTGCTGGCATCACAGGTGTGTGCCACCACGCCTGGTTATCTTTGAAAAGAAATCGTAGTCTTACAGAAGATGACAGTGTCTTTTCTTTGTTCTTTCAGAAGCCCCTAGCACAGCCTTTTTTTTGTACATATGGAAGTGTTTTGCAGATATCCATAGAGTGAAACTGGAAGCCGGGGTGGTGGCACAGGCCTGTTGTCCCAGCCCTGGGGAGGCTGAGGCAGAAGGTTTTACCAGGAGTTTGGGGCTAACCTGGGCTACATAGTGAGTTCAAGGCCAGCCTCAACTGCACATCGAGCTCCTGTCTCAAAAAACAAAACAAAGTAAGAATCAAGTGGGTTCGGAGTTACTGTGGGCGGGGGAGGAGATCAGAGCTCGCTTGTGTTCAGAAGGCCCTTCTTCTCTTTTCATTCATGTGCTCTGTCTTCTTCCGCATCTGTTAGCTTCCATTTTTACTTCCCTGCCTACTGAGAAAGGGCCAGGCTCCTTCAAAGAGTGCACTTCAAAGCCTCTGTGGCCCCGAAACCCTCACCACTCAGGGTCAGAGCTCACGGAAGACCCTGTGGCAGTTGCATTAAAAGGCTCCCCCCCAATTCTATTTTTACTTAAAGTCCCTTTAATGGGAAGGGGGAGGGTTACAGAAACATCTGCTTCTTAAAAAAATCAAATAGAAGCCACTGAAATTCCAAAAAACCTATGATACTCTTAAAAAAAGAGAAACCCTGATTTCATAGCTGGTATAAAAGAACAAGTCTTTTTTCTTAAAAAAAAAAAAAGAGTTGTGTGCTTTGTCCTACTTATGGGAGCCTGGGCGAACTGCGGCCCTCCCCTGCACGGCCGGGAGGTGCTGGTGAAGAGGTCGGGCTGCCTCAGGACTGGAGCTCGGGTCCAGGCACCCTGGTGGCAGGAACAGTGGTCTGGTGCGAGGATGGTGGCTTCACAGCTTTGCCGTGGGGAGTCTTGGGAGGCTCTGCTTGTGCCCGAATCTGAGGGCTCCTGGGTTTGGGATGCTGCTGGAGAGAGACTTCTAGGCATCCAGGGGGCCTGGAGCCCAGACTGTGGTTCCTGCAAATCCTGGAAAGGACTCTCACCTTGCTGTCCTCAGACCTGGGAAGGGCAGAGATAGAGTAGATAAATTTAGGGCCAGTAAAGCTTGGAATACAGGTACTTCCTAGTGATCACCACGCCTGCGTGCAGTGCCCGGCCGGGCATGAGCCGAGGTTTTAACCTGAGAGGGCACACAGCATGGGGACAGCTGGGCCAAGCTTTGCCCTGCTGTTACCCCCTGGGTGTCTATAGACCCAGCCCAAGGTCCCTGTTAAAATCTCCCCTCTCAGGGCTGGGGATTTAGGTTAGTGCCTGCCTCAAGCATAAGGTCCTGAGTCGATCCTCCACGCCAAAAAACAGAAACAAAACCAAAAACCTCCCCTTCCACTCCCTCATTCTAGTGTGTCCACACAGTACTTCCAGAGTCTGGAGTATTTCACTTACACAGTGGCCTCTAGTTGCATCTGTTTTTCTTACAAACGACGCAATCCTTTTATTCTGTATGGCTGTATAATGCTCCATTGTGTGTCTACACCACATTTTCTTTACTCATTCAAGTGTTGCCAGGCACCTTGACTGTTTCCACTGCTTAGCTATAGTAAAATACTGGCATGCAGGTATCACTCTGTTATACGGACTTTAATTTTGGGGGGCTGTACTGAGGCGTGGCATAGCTGGATCCAGTGGTAGCTCTATTTTTAGTGTTTTTGAAGACCTTCCATACTGATTTCCATAACAGCTTTACTAGTTTACCTTCCAGCAGCAGTGTAGAAGGTCCTCTCTCCTTCCTTTCCAGGGTTTCTTGCTTTTATTCTTTTAAAAAATTTTTAAAAAATTTTTTTTGGTTTTTTGAGACAGGGTCTCACTGTGTAGTTGAGACTGACCTGGAACTCACTGTGTAGCCCAGGTTGGTCTCGAGCTCACCGTGATTCTCCTGCCTCAGCCTCCCGAGTGCTGGGATGACAGGTGTGCGCCACCATGCCTGGCTCTTGTTTCTATTCTTGATGACACCTGATCTGACTGGGGTGAGATGAAATCTCACAGTAGTTTTGATTTGCTTTTTCCTGCTCTCTGAAGAAGTCGAACCTTCTTCACTTGTACTTCCTGTTTCGAGAGTGTCCAGTTCATTTGCCCATTTAGTGACTGGGCTGTTCATTTTCTCTGATGTCACATTTTTGTGTTCTTTATGTATTATAGATATTAATTCTCTGTGGGAAGAGTAGCTGGCAGAGTTCCTCCCATTCAGGGGCTTCGTCTTCACTTGTCGCTAGTCTCTGCTGTGCAGAAGCTTTGTAATTTGATGCGGCCCCCTTTTTGGTTCTTGTCTTATTTCCTGAGCTATTCTAGTCCTATTCAGGAAGTCTTTCTCTATGCCTACGGCTTCAAGTGTTTCCCTTGTGTTTTCTCCTATCGGTTTCTAAATGTCAGGTCTTAGACCTAGGCATTTGGTCGTTTTGAATTGATTTTTGGACAGGGTGAGGGACAGGGGTCTAACTGTGATCTTCTACCTGTGGACGTCCAGTTTCCCCAGCACCATGTGCTGCGGAGAAAGCTTCTTCTTTTGCAGGTCAGAAACCTGAGCCCAGGATGGGTGGATTTGCCACGACTCGCTGGTGTCGGGACTTGGGCTGGGTCTCAGTCTGGCCTTTTGTTACGGAAGAGATGCTAACCTTCTCATGTGTACACTGTGCGCCTGCCGATGAGGTGGATAATTTGTACGCAGGGTTAACCGCCCTTGGTTGCATCCGTTGTCCCTGATTAGACGAGGCCGCTAAGCTGAAAGGCGATGGTCGTCCACCGCTAGCCAGCCCCGCTCAGAATGTGTCCTTGCCCAGTAGGTGCGCAGAAGACTGCCTGGAGCGGCCTCCTGCCTCCTGCCTCCACAGAGTGCCCGATCCATCCGGTTTTTAAGGTGTTTGTCAATCGCGTGCAGCGTATGTGTGAGAAGCCAGCAGGGCCCCGGGTGAGGTGAAGGTGGGCTGGGCGCCGTCTTGGATTGGGCCAAAGGGAAGAGCGCGGGGCGTGACATTCGTTGGCCCAGCTACCAGGTCCCCTCCCATGTGAAGCTGCTCAGTCCCCCTGCTTTGGCACTTCCGGCCTGTTCATTTGTCTTTGGCTTTGTACCTCGTCAGCGTGGGGCCTGCTGGGGACAGTCCGCACACGCTGGATGAGTGATGGATACAGACCTTATTTTGCCAAAGAGTTCCCTGGCGAGCTGGCTGAAGATCCAGACTCCTAAGCCCTGTCCCATCAAGAAGGAGGTGGGTCCCCAGAATCTGAACGTCCCTGTCCAGGTGTGTCCAGCGCAGCTGGTCTGCAGGCCGTGCTTGGCAGCAGCCAGGGCTGCACAGGTGCCAGGCCTCCTGGAGTAAAGACGGAAATGGAATGTTAGAAGTAGTGCTGCCTGTTAAGAATGCACTGCCCGTGCTGTGCAGCCAAGTTCCCCTCCTGTGGGCGACAGGCCCGGATGTGGCCAGGTCTCGGTGGGGGGAAGTGGGCAGTGTCTCCTCCGCTGCCCAGAACAGCCCGAGTCAGCAGTGAGCTGCCAGTCGGGCGGAGGAAACTTCGCTGCTCTTTCAGCCCCGGCAGGACCTGTGCTGGCCGGGTGTGGGGACCAGAAGAGAGGCCGCCTGCTCCATGGTGGGCTTCAAGCTGGCCATGTCACGGGCTGGCTCTACCCTGGGTGGCCGCGGTGGCCGCCGCCTCAGTATATGTGCCCCTCTCTCCTCTAAGTAGCCACTTCCTGTCAGCTGGGGCGCTGGTCACCACCACAAACGTGTGGCTGCTGTTCAGGGAGCCTCTAAAAAGTCACCATCACGATGGGCCGTGGCCAGGCTTTGGGGGTGGGGTGAGCTGGCCTCACCCTGCTGCCCCCGGCTCCTTGCAAGGCTCGGAGTGGGCTTGGGGCCCGGGACTTGCTTTGCCCTCAGTTTGGGTGAAGGGAAGGCGCTGCCCGTGGAGGGCGAGGAGGAGCGGAGCCTCTGTGGCAAGCTGGTCGCTGTGCCCTCCCGCTGCAGGTCCCCTCCAGCCCCTGCCCGAAGGTATTTTGGTATTGAAAAAACAGATTTTACTGTCAAACCCTTAATTTGCAAATCTCAGGCTGGCTGAGGGTAGGCTTCCAGCTACCCCCACCCCGTGCAGATGTCTGGGCCTGCGTGCTTTCCTTCTCCATGGCACTTGCAGGGTGGCGTGGGCGTGAGTGTGAGTGTGTGTGTGTGTGTGTGTGTGCGTGCGCGTGCTCCGTTTAGCCACGTGGAGCCCCGACCCGGCCCAAGCCGCAGTCGCTCTGCCAGGCGGTGTTCAGTTCGCTGCAGCACCTCCCGAGGCCCAGGAGAGGCATTTATGGGCCGCGTGGATGATTACTCACATTCGGCAGTGGGCAGTTGTCGGATCTTTGTGTGGACCGGTGGTCCTGGAGTGGCCTGGGACTCGCGGTTCCCGAGTCGCCGTGGAGTCTGAGGCCGGAGGCATGTGGAGACGGTGGTAGGAGACCGGGATTTGTGACTCCGCTCCCCTTCCCTCAGCTGTGCGCGCACACCCGGGAACCTCTTTCCCAAGTTACCAGTGCACCTTGACAAAGCGTGTGGGGTGTACAGAGCACCGGAAGTGCAGCAGGTCCATGGTAACTGCGCGGTTTTCATTTGTAATGAAAGAAAAGGACAAACCAGAACATCCCAAGTGTAAAGGCAGCAGTCGGCGGGGTCCACAGAACAAAGTGTGAAGTGTTTGTTTACCTAATCGTCTCACATTTTGCCTCACAGCTAACCACCCACTGGTCCAGGATTGGAGTAGCACCAAGAAAAATAGCCATCCGGGCACTCGGGAGGCTGAGGCAGGAGGTTTGCCAGAGTTGATGGCCTGGTGTACATAGTGAGACCCGTCTCACAAAACAAAAACAACAAAATGAAATAAAACAAAAAGAAAGAGAAAAACCTCCATCCTGACTGCTGAGGTTGTGATACTCTCCCCTCGCAGCACGTCTGTGAATCCGAGATTTCATTTTTTTTTTCCTTTTTTCTGTGTTCCCTCATCTACCTCACCACCTAGAAAAACACATTGTACGAACGCAAAGGCAGAGGCAGGGGTGCCAGCCCAGCCCTCTTAACTTAAGCGAGACACAGAAGCAAGTTGTGAAAGTCTGACGCGATGACACCGCTCTTCTCACGCGGGATTATTTACAGTGTGACAGGTTTGTTCTAAACAAGGCTCCCCTACAGGCACAAATAGGGCTCTAAGGCCAGAAAGCCTAGGGGCGGACAGCCCGAGGGTTGTGAGGGGCAGGGTGGTGTGTGGGCCCCCGGACTCTTCGTGTCCCCGTGTTGAGCTGACGTGCTGGGCTGGTGGGTAGACTGAGGCTCCCTGAGACCCCAGGCGGGGACCGGGGACCGCCTGCCGCCTGTAGCACCTTTTGGAGCAGCCGAGGTCCTTGGCTTTGTCCACTTGTCTGAGGACCAGCCACTGGCCTGTTTCAGTTGCTTCTCTGTAACTTCCGGCTGCTCTCCTCAGAGCAACGTTTATGTCTTTAAAGAAAGGATGCGTGTGTGAGTGTGTGTGGGTGTGAGTGTGTGTCCGCGCGTGTGTTCCCCACTCCGAACCATGAGATGTGTTGACATGTGTTGTTTTTAACCCGAAAATGTTTCAGGATCGTGGTGCCGTTGGGAAACTGCAGACCTTTAGTAGAAAATGGGCAAAATCGGATTGGGAGAATTAAATGAATAAGCGCTGTGGGCCGAGCGCCTCCCCGGACGCGCTGACGCTGATGATGAGGGTAAATCACACCGTGCGGAGCGGCCCCTTCAGCGCCGGGCGGCTGACCTGCACAGCGCCCCTGCTGCCGTCCATCCCGGGCCCTTCCGTGCGCCAGCCCGGCGCGGATTCCTGCGGCCTTGGTCGACGAGGTCCTGTGGAGACTGAGAGCAGACTGGGAAAGGAAGGAAGGGACAAGAAAAAAAAGAACAGAAAGCAAAAATGGAAACGAAGCCTTTGTAAAGGAGGGGGAGAGGCGCCGACAGAGGGAGGGGAGTGGGAGAAAAAGGAGCAAGATATATCACGTCCAGGTACAGATTCCCTGTGATGATTGTGATCATTGTGTGTATTTAAAATGTACCAACTAGTGTTTTGCTTAAAAGAAAAAAACAAAAAAAACAAAAAAAAAGAAAAAGGCTTTGCCGGAGTCGCTGGCTGTGTGTGCAGCTGTGTCCCCGCCCACTCTGAGACCAACCCTGTGACTGACAGCGAGGACAGCCAATCCGAGCGTGGTCCTCTCATCTGGGCCCCGCGTGGCCGCTCTGGGGCAGGGATCTCCTCGGTCCTGTTCCTTCCCGACCTGTGAGCTGTGACATCATCGGCCTTGTGGCCGTGGAGCGGCCCCGGTCTGGGTGGTGCGCTGCCGTGGCCTCCCGGTGACGGTGTGGTGGCTCCGTCTGTCCCGCGTGAAGGAGCCGTGGTGACTTGGCAGATGGCCCCAGTGCCCCTGGCTGGTGGCCCTGAGATCGTCCTGAGATCTGGGCACGGGGATGTGTGGAGAACGCCTGTCTTTGTTCTTGGGGTCCTGTGGGCCCTGCCTAGGGGGCGGGTATCAGTGGGACCCCAGTCTCTTTGGTGTTCTGCAGGGGCTACCGACGGTGGGCCCATCTGAGCCCAAAGCCGTCTCCTCCCTTCCTCCCCCCCCCTTGTGGGTTCTTCCCTGGAGCCTGTTGTGCTTGGCTCTGGGTGACCTTTAGCGAATGCTTTTTGCATCCTGGCACCGTCATATGAAGAAAATTTATGTGGTGCTGGCATGAGCCAAGTTGGCGGATGTGCTCTGCTCTAGGGACTCCGCGAAGCGTTTATCATCCACTGTTTGTTCAGGTAGCGCACTGTGTCACTTAATTTCGATGTCACTCCATTTGTCATCCCTGGTCAGTGTGTTGTGTGGCCAGGAAAGTCATCTCCTGGCTCCAAGAACTGCCTTGAGCATTTTAATTTGGCTTCTTCACTCACGCACAGATGCCTGGTAAAATCTGTTTGATTTAAATCGTAGGCGGGAGCAGTGTCGGGCGTCAGAAACATAAAGATGCCTGTGACCTTGCAGAGAGACCCTTGTTAGTGGTTTAGCTCATGGTTTTCAGTGTTTTTTCTTTTGTTTTGAAACAGGGTCTCTCTGTGTAGTTCAGGCTGGCCTTGAACCCACAGCAGTCCTCCTGCCTCAGCCTCCCTAGTGGTGATATTACAGGAGTGTGCTACTGGCTCTCTCCTCTGTTTTCTTTTCCCTTTGGGTAACACTAGGCTAGGAGGCAGAGACACCCTGCCCGGGGCTTCGAGCCACTCTGCCAGGTGCAGTGTGTTCACCTCAGCTGCACAGTGGGGCAGCCATGCAGGTCCCAGGCGCCGTTGTGAGGACGAGGCCAGTGCAGTTGTGGTCTGAGCCCCAGCCCCACGTGGGACCAGAGAGCTGAGTCCGAGGACCTGGGATTCGCTTTCTTTGTGGTCCTCTGCAGTGGATGACATGCTTATCCCCGCATGTCCCTAGATGCCGCATGCCTCCCCTTCTCCCTGTGTGCTTGGTGGCTTCGATTCGCTGTGCCCCGCAGTACCAGGGGCCAGCTTCTGGGTGTCCAGTGGCCTCCTTGGAGCCAGGCCTGAGCCCTGGGGCCTGCGCTGCCCTCTCTCCTGTAGAAGGGTCTGTGTCACAGCTCCCAGGCTGCGCACAGCCCCACGAGTGGGGTCCCACCCTGTGGGGGTTACCTGGGCTACAACCCCTCTCACCCTGCATTCTAGGGTGCCTGGCTGTGACCTCTGCCAGGGGCTCCTCACACTGTAGTCAAAGCCCTCCCTGGCCAGAGGCAGAGGGGGGCCCTCCAGGAGGTGGGGGGACCCTGTGCCAGGGATATCAATGCCTCTGGATGCTGGCTAGCTTCCGTGGCCTTGGGCCAGTCCTTTCCAGTATTCACACCCGAGTTCTCCATTTGGTGGAATGGACCTATGTTGGGCGTGGTGGCACATGCCTGTCATCTCAGCACCTGAGAGGCGGAGACAGGAGGGTCTCTATGAGTTCGAGGTTAGTCTGAGCTACATAGTGAGTTTAAGGCCAGCCTGAAGTACATAGTGAGACCCTGTCTAAAAGAAAGAAGGAAGGAAGGAAGGAAGGAAAGAAGTAGAACAGAGCTAAGAGCATCCTGTAGCTCTAGGAATGCTGTTGGGATTAAGGGTGTGGGAAGAGTTCCTGGCTATAGGAAGAGCCTTGTCTAAGGCCTGATATCATCACTGCTGTCACCAGACATTTGCATGTTTTATTACTTGCAGAGGGATTAGGCTGCAGCTGTGGGTGTGCTCGTACTTAAAGACCAGGCCACCAGGCAGACCTGTTTGGAGCCCCTGGGCAGGAGGGGTCTTGTATGGCTGGGTGTTCCGTGGCTGAGGGAGGGAGACGTCCCCTGGCCAGCATCCCCGCCCGGGCTCTTCTCAGAGTCGGCTGGGCCAGCCTCCTCCGCATGACGGGCACGTGGTTGTTTGTGTGACCTCTGTTGCTTTCTGGGCCAGGCTGGACCTTTTGCCACCAGGTTACCTGGCCAGAGGGCTCTGATCTCCAACCAGGCTGCCGTTTAGGGTGATGTGGCTTCCCCAGCTGTGTCCGGCCGGGCTGGGCTGAGCTCTCTTCGTGGAGCCCCCATTCCAGCTTCTGATTCCAGACAGCGTGGGGGCCTGGCCTGTCCTGAGAAGGGCCAGCTGCCCATGCTCTGAGGGGTGGTGGGTTAGAAACTCCCACCCTGTGATACTCGAGATGCCCTCTGCGTCCCAGCCAGGGACCCATACTGAGTTACATCCCCAGCTCTTTTAAACATTTTAAGACAAGGTCTTGCTAAGCCATTCATTTGTCCAGGCTGGCCTGGAACTTGCAGTGATCCTTCTGCCTCAGCCTCCTGAGTGCTGGGATGACAGGTGTGGCGATGCGGTGCTCAGACCCATCCCTGTTGTAGGCAGTGAGTGTCAGAGAGAGAGCCTGAGAGTTTTTCCTTCTGGCTGCCTCATGAGCAGGGTGTGTGTAGCCCCACTCCTCCTTTCTGTTCTAGCATAGATCATCATTGATGTGTCCAGGGGCTGTTGTGAACACTTGTGTTGGGAATAGAGCTGTGCTGGGTGTGGGTAGGTGGGCAATTCTGGGTTCTGAAAGTGCCTTTCTGGTCTGTGTTTTCATGTTTGAGTGTTGATGCTGAAGTGACTTTGTGACCTTTTCCCTCCCACCCAGTTCTGTGACAAGTGGAGCATATTTTGTGTTTCTAAGTCACACCGGCATTCCCAAGATGAGCCAGGTGGGCTGCCGTAGATTACTTTCATTCCTGGCTAGATTTATGCTGACTAAGATTCTGTGTGCTAACTTTGCGTTTGTGACCATGCATATGACTGATCTATACATTTCCTTTCTCGTTTTGTCCTGATCTGTTTTGGTGTCAAGGTTGTATTGGTTTCATAGAGTGAAGAAATAATCATCCTTTATAAACATTTTTTTATTTATGGGATAGGATATTGCTCTGTTGCTAAAATCCCCAGGCTGGGCTCTGATGTGTGCTCCTCCTTCCTCAGCCTCTAGGCCAGTGTGCACAGTTTAAGTGAGATTTTGTCTCAAAATAAAAAATGAAAAATGCTAGGGGTAAGCTGGGTATGGCGGCAGAGTCCTGTAATCCCAGCACTCAGGAGGCGGAGGCAGGAGGATTGCTGAGTTTGAGGCCAGCCTGGGAGACATAGTGAGTTCAAGGGCAGCCTGAGCTACGTAGTAAGACTCTGTCTCAAAAAGCAAAACAAAAAATATAAGACCTCTTAATAATTTCATTCATGTTTTTTATTTTATATGAGGCTCACAACATTTAATTTATCAAGTGATTTCTTTCTTTTCTTTTGCATAATAAACTTTATTTTATCCCTTTCGGCCCGAGCCCACGTGGCTTGGTGACGTGTGACGGACAAGTGGGGGGCGCTGCAGGGAGCAGTGCGAGCCGGGGTCCCTCTGTCCCCAGGGAGCATGCGCAGTGGAACGCCGAGCGCGTTTCCCAGGCTCCCGCCTCCCATCCCGTGTGCATCTCAGCCCCCGACGCTTGGCAGGCGGCAGAAGCCGCAGTGTGAGTGGGGACAATTTTTTTGAACAGCGGGAACAAGTAAAAAAAAAAAACAAGTCCCTGGTACTTAATTTGTTAAAACATAGAAGAGCAGGGAATTCCCTTAGATTCCAAACGTAGGGGTCTTGCCGGCTGCCTGCCCCGGAATCGCTCATCTAACACACAACAGGTGTGGCCATCCCAGGAGGGCCGGGGCAGCGGCTGAGGCCGGCTTGTCCTCTGCGGATGATGCAGGCGGGGCGGGCACCGCGGGACCCCACTTCTGGGCAGAATTGGGGAGCCCTGGTAGTCTAAGGGGGGAGGACCCTGGCGCTCACCTCCCTGGAGATCCGGCCAGCCTGAGGCCCTGCGGGGTGCAGGTGATAGGCGAGTGTCTTTGAAGTTACTTCCTGGCCGGGCGCTCTCGGGGGTACATGGAGGGCCGTGGGGATGCGGCTGCCCCAGCGCTGTCCGGGTTGGACTTGGTCAGCCTCGGGAGGATGGACAGGCAAGACGTGGGCCCAGGGTTTCCGGGGCAGCCACGGGCCTGGCTGCCTTTGAACCCGTGCCCAGCCTGGGTCACCAGGGCTCCCCTGGGGGGGGAGACAGACGCCGAGGGGTGCAATCAAATCAGTTGTGTCTTTTAAGAAATTTACCCATTTTGGACTTGTCTGTGGAAGCAATTAGGGAGATCACAGGACCGTTTCTGATCGCCTTTTTGCCCAGTGTCTATTGAGAAACCCAAAGACGGTCGCCGGGCAGGGCAGGGCCGGGCACACAGAGTCCTGTTGTCTCTGCAGCATGGCCTCAGACAATCTGCCTTTTAGTCGAGTTGCAGCCTGGGGAAGGAAATGAAAAAGTGTTTTATTAGATGGCAAAGAAAGATGAACTGGACTTAGGAGATGTGGAGGATTTTAGCTTTTTCTTTGTTATTGGAAACTTGGGAAGAGGGTGACTTTTGCTGTAATGCAATTTGTTTGTACAATGTGGTGATTATTGTTGGTAGTTCATAAAGTTCTCACTGTGTAGTTCAGGCTGGCCTTGAATTCCCTGTGCAGCCCAGGCTGGCTTCGAACTCAGGGTGATCCTCCTGCCCCAGCCTCCCGAGTGCTGGGATCACAGGCGTGCGCCCCCTTGAGGTGCTGAGTGTTGTAGACTTGCTGCAGTTCACAGGGTGTCTACATCTGTCATGTCTTTTAAGTGTTGATTTTGTCTTCTCCAAAAACCCACAAAACAAAGCAAGGGACTTGTGAATGTCACAACATGCTGTGTGGGCAGATGGTGCCCACAGGGCCCAGCCTTGGAGCTCTTGTGCCACATAATTGTCATCCAGCACTCGGGAGGCTGAGGCAGGAGGATCACCATGAGCCTTGGCTACATAAGGGGTCCAAGACAAGTCTGGCATATATAACTAGAACCCGTCAAAAAGGTTTTTATTTCTAATTTCATAGTTTTTTGAGATAGGGTCTTGCTATGTTGCCCAGTCTGGCCACAGATTTACTCCTGGGCTCAAGTGGTCCTCCTGCTTCAGCCTCTTGAGTAGCTGGCACTACAGGCAAGTGTCTTGGCACTGGGCTTACATTTTTAGGTGGCTGAATAAAATGCAAGCAGAATGACCTCACACCAGCGGGAGATGACAGGAGTACGCGCTCAGTGCTTGTGAAGTCGGCGCCTGTCTGCTTGTGCCCTTGTGCCACAGCTGCCGGCTCCCCGAGCCTGTTCCCGGGTGATGCTTGTGTTTAGGTGGTGGCTGGAAGCTGTCAGGCTTCGGCACTGCCCGTGTTTTAGTGGTGCTCTTTTTCTTTTTGTCTTTTGAGACAAGGTCTTGCTGTGTAGCCCAGGCTGTCCTGAAACTCTCTGTGATCCTCCCGCCTCAGCCTCTGGGTGCTGAGATGCCAGGTGTGTACCACCATTCCCTGCTATACCATTTGTTTTTTTTAAAGTTTTTTTTTAATTTTTTTTTTTTTTAATAGAGAGGTTTAGATTCACAGCAAAATGGAAAGGGAGTTACAGAGAAAACCCACACATATCCTGGCCATTTTCTCGTAGTTATGAGAATAACCACTGTCCACCAACTTGTGTGACACCCACTGCGCAGCCTGCTACTGGTGCCTGCTGAATGACCTCAGGTGGATGCCATGCGGGTCCCTCGGGCCTGTGCTTGGTGGTGGGCAGTGCCAGGGCGACGTCCCCCTCTGGTCTGTCTCCTCCCCACCCTGTGCGGCTTCATCCGGGCCCCAGTCCCGCAGGGTGTGCGGTCGCCAGCAGGCGGCGCTGATCTGTCTGCTGTGACAGACTCCGGAGGAGGTCGAGCCATTCAGGGGACATGGAGGTGGGTCTCATTTGTCTCTGGAGTCGGGGCCTACCAGGACTTGCTGCATGGTGGAGTCACGTTCAGTTTTTTTTTTTTTTTTTTCCCTCCGAGCCAGGGACTCACTACGTAGTCCAGGTTGGCATTGAACTCTTGGCGATCTTCCTGCCTCAGCCTCCGGAGTGCTGGGATTACAGGCGTGGGCCACCACGCCCAGCTCCCATGGGAGTTTTGGCTTCGTGAATTGCATTCAAACTATAGCACAGAGGAGGGTACCCAGGGCCTTTGGACTCTGCCCTGATTAACATTGTCCTGGTTCTGGTCCAGCCTGGCCCCACATCCCCCAATCTTGTGTCCTCCACTCCTGGGTGCAGTGGGTGCTGCTGTGAGACTGGAGGACCCTTGGCGACCCCAGGGCTCCGTGGAGGGGACAGGAGCATCTGACCCCATAGCCCCTGCTGGATGTGGCCTGTGGAGGGCGGAGCCAGCCAGCCTGGGAGGAGCAGATGGGGACAGGAAGATGTGGCCTGTGGGTCCCTTGGCCCTGGGCGCAGGGCTCTGGCCAGACATGGCAGCCTGGCAGATGCTGTCCACACTCAAGGCAGACAGGTGGAGCTTTCCCGATGCTGTGCCAGGCCCTGGGTGGGGAATGTGGCTCACCTGAGCGCCCGGACCCCGTCCACTTTGCTCCTCAGGGCTCAGGGCTGGGCAGGGTGGGAGCCGGCGGGGAAGAGGAGGCTCAGTTCGGGGCAGGCGGGTGTTCCCTCGGGCACTGGCCGGAAGTCTGCCTGAGAGAGGAACTGAAAGGAAGTAGTTCACAGTGACCGTGACCACACGTGTCGGTGCAGCTGCCCTTGAATCACGGCCCCATGCGCCGCCATCTCTAGGGCAGTGGGAGGGGACTGCTCGGAGCTGGCTGGATCAGGAAAAGTTGGCTTCTTTCCATCCTTCCTGTCTCAGGTTGGACAGAGGAATCCAGCAGTGTGGCTGCTGTGTTGCTTGGCAACGGCCCTGCGTCCTCAGCGTTGGGTGACAGACAGCCAGGCTGCAGTCTGGTGCAGTTAGTGGCTGGATTATGGTCAGACGAGACAGTCAAGTTAATAACATTTCTTTGTTTTAGTTTGAGAAGCCAAAATTAGCATTTAAAAAATGCTAGGCAGCTGAGCGCAGTGGTGCAGGTGCACACCTGTAGTCCCAGCATGCCTGAGGCTGAGGCAGCAGGATCTCTGTGAGTTCAAGGCCAGCCTGAGCTACATAGCAAGGCTTTGTCTCAAAAATAAAAAAATGCTAGTTTCTTTGATTTTAAATATACTTAGGCACGATTTTCAGAAATGGCTCGGGGTGGGGCGGGGCGGGGCTCTGCAGGGCAAGTTCAAGCCATGTGAGTGTGGGCTGTGTGACTCCCCCTTTCTGTAAGCAGGGTTATAATTCCTGTCGCACAGGGTCCCCGCGGTGCATGGAGCAGGAGCTGGGACACTTGCTTCCTCCCCTGCCCGGATGGGGACTGTTTCTGCTGAGCCTTTCCATGGCAGGGGAGGGGCGAGGTCATCTTCCCGCCACACCCCGCTGTCACGGGAGAGCATCGACACAGACTTCCTTTTCTCCGCCCTGAACTTCTGCTCAGTGTGTGACACTAGGAACTGGTTGCCTCCGTCTTGGCCCCAGCTGGTTTGCCTTTGATTGACTTTTAGGAGGACGTGGCTTCTGTTGACAGCTTTCCTTACAAAACCTTAGGAGCCTCCCAGGCGTCCTGCGGGTGTCACGTATGGGCATTTTCTTACCTGGGCCGGGGAAGAGAGGGGGTCCTTTGGCTGATAACACGGTCCCAGCTGTCTCCTGCTTGTGGTTCTGGTTCTGGATGAGGCCTCGCTGCCTTGTGGTTTCGTCCTCTTTAAAGGGAGGTGAAAGTGAACATCACATCCCTTGCTTTGTCGTTGTGGTTGCTGGTGCACTTTTCTTGCAAATAACAGATGACCTGGACACCTGGAGTTAAAGCAGTAAGGGGCGTTTTGTGTTCTCAGGCAGGATCTGGAGCTGGAAAGATCTTCAGTTGGCTGATTGAGTAACTCAAGGAACCAGGCGTTGTCTCTGGTTCCACTCAGCCACCTCAGCAGGTGGGTGTTTTCTGCCCACAGAGTGGCTGCAGCAGCCCCAGACATCACAGATGGCTCCCGTGGAGTCCACTGAAGCAGGGTGGCATTTTTCCTCCTTTCCCCCATCGGTGAGGACACTCTTCTCCAGAGACCCCTTGCAGACTCTTGAGTCTCCTTGTCCTGTGTCTTGGTCTAAGTCCCTTAGATCCCTTGGGATCGGAGGTCAGTGCTGACGTTTTTTGGGAAGTCAAGTCCAGAGAGGTGAAAGCGGAGAGGGCGGGCCACTGAGGCGTGACCCAAATGTTTCTGCGCCGGATTCTCTGGTGACCAGGCTGCAACTTCAGGGACACAGATAGAGGCCTGCCCCCCGCCCCCGTTTATTCCTTCTTGTGTGGTGACGGGGTCCAGCGTAGCCCGGGCTGGACTCGAGCTGGTGGCGGAACTCCTGCCTCGGCCCCCCGCGCTGTGGTGACAGGCGAGCCGCTGCACCAGGCTTGCTGTAGGCTTTTGGGGTCCGGACCCGGCCTGCTCTGTGGGTTGACGTCAGTCGGCGCCTCCTGAGGGCTGGGAGGGCGCGGCTTGGGGAGGGGTGTGCGGTCCCGTCGGGACGAGGTCGACTCTGCACCGGGGCCTTGTGCCTCAGTTTCCCTGCAGGGCCCGGAGGGAGGTGCGCGGGGACCCAGGCGCTGACCTGCTGTCTCTTCTCTTGCAGCTCCTGTGCGTCCCAGCCGGTGAGTGCCGCTGTCCCTGCCGCGCGACCGCCCCCTCGTGGGCGCAGCGAGAGTCACAGAAGACGGGGAAACCTGCCACCTTTTCTTTAGAAGTGGGGGGAGGGTGGAGCTGGCCGAGGAAGGGAAGAATTCAGGACTGTGCAGTCCTGACTATGAAAACTTACTTTCTAAGCCCGAACCTGCAGTCCCAGCGACTTGGGATGGAGTTTGGGGCCAGCACGGGCAATGTGATGAAACCTCCTCTTACAAATTCGTGATTGATGGTTCAGAACCAGGCACGCGCCTGTCATCTCAACTGGGAGGCCGAGGCAGGGGGGTCGCTGCGAGTTTGAGGCCAGCCTGGGCTACATAGGCAGACCCTGTCTCAGAAAACCAAAACAGAAAATTTTTTTTTTTTTCCTTTTTGCCGACTTATACCCACAGGCGATTTAACTTAATGAAACAGTAATGGGCTATTTGTACATCGTGTGTGCTGCCTCCCCTCTGTTTTCCTGTTGTTGTGTTGCTCTTGTCTGAAACCTTGCTACATTTAAGAAGCGATGTAGAATCTGTGTGCTCCAACTCTGGAGAACTGGCCTCCCGTGTCTTTGGCTTTTACCGGGGAGGGTATGGGCGCCCGTCTGGGGTACGCTGGCCTGTCCCCAGCTCTGGGCTTGGTCCCCAGTCCTGAAAAACAAAATGTGGGCTGTGACAGGTGATGTGGAAGCCTAAGTTCTGCTGCTGGCTGCAGCTGGTTCATTCCCTGATCTTACAACAAAATGAGAAAAATAAGTGTAGAATAGTAGACTTTCAGTGAAGCTTAATATACAGCATCCATTTGTATGGTTCTTTTTTGTTTTGTTTTGTTTTTTTTTGTTTTTTTTGTGACAGGGTCTCACTATGAATTTGAGACTGACCTGGAACTCACTATGTAGCCCAGGCTGGTCTTGAACTCACAGCGATCCTCCTGCCTCAGCCTCCCGAGTGCTGGGATTACAGGTGTGCGCCACCACTCCCGACCACAGCATCCATTTGAAAGCACCACCCATTCCAGGATTCTGGCCTTACTAATTATTTTTGGTCATATGATATTTCAATAAGACATAGAGGTGATGGTAATAGTTTTCTGTTTTTGTCTTTTGTTTTGGTACCGGGTATTGAACTCAGGACTTTGAGCCTGTGAGGCAGGCCTGGTGCCACTGAGGTAAATCCCTGGCCCTTAATTTTGATTTTTGAGACAGTCACCTTTTGTAGTTCGGGCTGACCCTGAACTCACTATGTAGCCCAGGCTGGTCTCGAACTCACAGTGATACTCCTGCCTCAGCCTCCTGAGTGCTGGGATTACAGACATGTGCCACCTTGCCCAGCAGTTAATATTTTTGAAAAGTATTTTGTTGTGAAAAAAAATGGTAGCTAACGATTGTCCTTAAAATTCAAGAACATTGTTTTTTCTGCTTGGAAAAAATCCCAAATTCTGTGAACTACACAGATAAAGCAGATTGTTCTTGCAGTGCTCTCCACAGGGGCAGGTCTCACCGACACCTTCTAATAAAGCGAATTTTGGTAATAACAGTAATTATGCAGAGCCCCGCACATAGCAGGAGGGAGTGTGGTGCAGCTGGAGTTTCTCCCAGGATCTCTGCACTCAGCCTTAATGCTGCAGCCACGTCCTGCTGTCCAGTGGGAAGCGATGTTGGCAGGGTGCTGTGCGGGAGACGGAGCTGGAGCTGAGTAACTCTCAGGCTGTGTCCTGTGAAGGGGGCTCCTCACACGCACACGCTGTCTTCTTCCCGCTCACGGGCCGGGGTGACAGCAGCCGTGGCTTCCCCTGAGGCCTCCGCTCTCGGCCTGCAGTGGCTCTCTGCCTGCTGTGCCCCCAGTGTCCTCAGTCTGGATCTGGTGCTGACCTCCGGATGGACAGCTGCCTGACAAAGGCTGTGTCCTTTGTCACAGTCCCCACCTGAGGGGTGGCCTTAGGGCTTCAGCAGTGCACACGGGGGCACAGTTCAGCCCACTGGGGAGCAGGATTCAGCTCAGCCCCAGAACTGACCCACACTCAGGCCGTGGAGCTGACCCACCTGGAAGATCGCCTGCTTGTCCCCCTCAGCAGAGCAAGGAGTTAGGAAACTGTCACATGGCTCTCCATAGCTGCAAGGGAGGCTGGGAAATGTAGTCTTCATTCCCCACAACCGTGTGTACACAGAAGCATGGGAATGTAGGATAAAGGAAAGAGAGGGGTGTGTTTTGGGGGGCAAGAGCAGCCTGTGCTGCCCCCCTGTAAACAGAGGCTCAGGGAGGCTCAGAAATGCATCAGGAGGAAGCAGCCAGCAGGGCCCAGCGTCCTCTCCAGAGCCCGTCCTCGGCCTGCCTGTCTCCTCTCCTCTCGAGTGACTCTGGCAGTGTCTGCAGTCCCGTGGCCCGGGTGTTGCAGTTATGATCGGAAGGGGAGCGGCGAGCTCACTGTCCTCAGCGGGCCGTTGTCCGGGGTCGGTCGGTGTGGGGGCTGTGTGACGGCTGTCACCGTCTCCCGGGTCGCGGACCCTTCACTCACCTCGTCTCTCCCCAGCCTTGGATTCAGTGTCTGGTGCTCCGCCGACCATGACAAATGTCAACACAACAGCGATGCCTTGGGGCAGTGACGGCCAGGTGATCCTTCCCAGCGTCTCAGTCCCAGCGGGAGCTGGAGAAGCCGGGCAGAGTGGCCCCATGCCAGGGACCAGCGCCTCTCCTGCCACCCTCGCACCCACACCCAGTGAGACTGAAGGGACATTGCAGACCGCTGACAGCCCCGGTAAGCAGTGAGGCCGTGCTCCTGAAAGGAAAGCTGCTTAGTTTAGAGCTGTTGGGATTTCCATTGTTTTCTTTTAATTACCTAATCAACACCTTAAAAATATTCATAATGACAGTAATACCTATTTGTGATAGAAAATACGTGACAGGAAAAAGAAATCCTATGTAAGTCAGTCAGAAACATCACTGGCAACTTTGAGCTGAACCTGCTGGTGCCTGTCTGTAATCCCAACACTCTAGGAGGCTGAGGCAGGAGGATGTCAAGTTAGAGCACAGCTGGGTGACTTTACAACTCCGTGTCCTTCTCTCAAAAAAAAACGATAATTTTTGATGTGTGCTATTTTATGATTTTTAGATGTGCAGCTGCCTAGTTTAACCTGACTGTTCTCTGCCAATATGAATTTCCCCCCCTTTGGTTACTGGGATCGAACTCAGGACGTTGTGCTTTCTAGGCAGGCGAGGTACCCCTGAGCTACATCCCTGGCCCCAGTATGAATATTTTTACAGCGTAATTTTAACCTGTCTGACATTCCACTGTCTGACTCATAAGAAGGATGATAATAATAGTCCATGTCCATAAATCTGCCCACTGTGTGTTTTATAGATAAAGTTTTATTGGAACATGGTGCTGCTCACTTATCTGCTCTCTGGCTGAGTTCACACTAAAATTGAGTAGGAACAACAGAGAAATTTATGGCTTGTAAAGTCTGAAATATTTGTGCAGGAAAAGTTTTCATATCCCTGGGCTAGACCAGTGGTTCTCAAAGTATGGCCTAGGGGTCTCTGGATGTCCCCTATTTTTCTTTTAAGGATTCTGAGAAGTATTATTATCATAACAACACTGAAATGTTCTTTATTTACTCATAATTGTCACTCTAATGGCAAACAAATGTATGCTTGTACATATATATGTGTGTGTGTGTGTGTGTGTGTGTGTGTGTATATAGATATATATATATATATGTATTTTTTTTGGTGCTGGGGACTGAATTCAGGACCTTGCACTTGCCAGGCAGGCACAGTGCCACGAGCTAACTCCTGTATATGTATATTTTTGAAATAGGTTTTTGCCATATAGTTCAGGCTGGCCTTGACTTCACTGTGTAGCCTAGGCTGGCCTTAAACTGGCAGCAATCCTCCTGCCTCAGCCTCCTGGGTGCTGGGATCATGGGTGTGCACCACCATGCCTAGCTTGTATATTTTTGTGATTAAAATTTTTCCTTATTTATTCATAATGCAGTAAATATCGACAAACATAACCTATATAAGCAAAGATTCTCTGAGATCCTTAATGATTTTTGAGAATACAAAGGGGTCGTGAGATACAAAGTTTTAAAACCATTTTTCTGGAGGTCTTACAGAATTATTTAACCTCTCAAATGCTGGGGAGGTAGATTATTTTTATAATTTTTCATAAGCAACTTTGAGATGCAGTAGTTTTGTTGATTCTGCAAGGGTGATATCAGTTAGCTTTGACAGACTAATCACTGCAATATTGCTAGGGTAATAAAAGAAAGTTGTAGCAGTTCCCAGGGGAAGAAATAATGTTCATTGTTGTTGACGGTCAAGAACAGTGTGGCCCTGGGCTTAGGGTGACCCCTAGTGGCGGAGCGGCCGCCTGTGGCTGGGTTGGCTGCCCAGGACCTGGGGCTTCTGCCGAAGGCCGTTCACAGACGGACTCGGCCCTGCTCACGCTCAGTCACCGAGCTCGGGAACACTCAGGGAAATGGGACGCCAGAGAGACAGAGGGAGCAGCAGGGTCTGACTCCAGAGGGACGGGATTCCTGCGCTCTGGCCAGGAATCCAAACGCTGCCTCCCTCCGGAGAAGCTCAGAGAGCTCACGACCGCCAGGGGCGGGCCTCCAGGCCGCGAGGGACCGGAAGTGAAAACCTCGGCCGAGACGGGGCGTAGTGAAAGCAAAACGGTGCAGAAAGCCTGGGCGAGACAGCGCTGTCTGGGCTAGAGTGAGGAGGTGCTGGCAGGACACCTGGGGCCTCGACGCTCCTGTGATCTGCTGGCCCCAGGAAGCCTCCCGCAGTTCCCAGCCCCGGGGGTGCGGACCGATTGCCCGTGCTTTCCCGTTTCTTGTTGCTCCTCATCAATCTTGAATTTAATGAGGAAGTGTCCATTTGGTAGTTTTACCGCCAGTAGCCGTGATGGCCTGCATGGTTTAAGGTCCTTTTCTGGTTTCTTTGTTTTCTGAGAGGGTGAGGAGGTGGGGGGTAGGGTCTCATACGTAGTCAAGCTGTCCTCGAACTCGAAGCTTCCTGCCTCAGCCTCCTGAGTGCTGGGTTGCAGGCGTCCCCCACTGTGCCTGGCTGGTTTAAGATCTTACACATCTGCAGTTTCACAGATGATGAAGCTGCAGTTCTGAGAGATGAGAGACTGGGAGCTCTCACAAGACCACTGAGCTCTAGGTTTGGAGCGTGCACCTAGATTTAAAAACGTCCAAGCCAGGCCTGGTGGTACAGGCCTCTGAGAGAACAGGACTGCAAGTTTGAGCCCAGCCTGGGCAAGGTAGCGAGAGCTCGTCTCCAGAAAGGTCTGGGATGCAGCTCAGTGCAGAGGCCCGGGGTTCGATCCCCAGTGCCAGCAAAACAAACAAGAACAAAACCAAACCCAGACCCAGCGATCTTATCTCATGCCGGGCCTGGTGACAGCTCCTCTGTGTGTGGCGCGGTGAGTCGGGAGCTTGCTTCAGAGAGGATCCAGACTCTGAGGTTTTAGGGGACAAGTCCAGGTCCCTGCTTGTGAGGGGAACAGGCTTTCGGGCCAGACCTGGGCTCCAGGAGTGTCCTTGTCTTGTCCTGTGTTTGTAAAGTTATTTCTGGAAAGCAGACATACAGGACAGACTTTCCTCTCGCATTTATTTTTTAAATGTATTTTTCCTTTTTTTTTTCCTCTTGAAAACGTTTGAAGCACAAGGAGTTGTGTCTGGCTTCGAAGTACATCCCACCAGTCCAACCAGTGTGGTCCTAACGTGGAAAAAGGAAAACCCATCGGCCTCGGACTGGTATAGGATAGAGGAGGAGACGAGCAACACAGCCGTTAGCACCCAGCAAACGTGGTACAACGTCACGGGCTTGCGTCCGGCGACTACGTACACGTTCTCCATATCCCTGGGAAGGGGTAACAAGACCTGGGGAAAGCCCACCTCCAAAAATGTCACCACAGGTAAGACCACCGGCTCCCAGCCATGGCCACCAACCATTTCTTATCCCATATCCTGTTGGCTGTAGATCAGAGAGCCAGGAGAGAGAGAGAGTAGGATTTTTGGTTTTTGAGACAGGCTGGCCCAGAACATGCGGCGATCCTCCTGCCTCAGCCTCCCAAGTGCTGAGACAAAGGGCCTGTGCCACCTTTCCCAGCTGGAAGTTCTACCTGTTTCCACCTGTTTTGTTTTTAGAATCTGGATTTGTTATGGTGGCTCACACCTACCTTTCTGTGCTGCCCCTGCTCCTTAGAAGGCTGCTCTGGTGACGTCAGCGTCCCTGGTCTTCTCTGCTCCTCAGGAAGCTGAGGCTGTTTCCAGTGAGCTCCTTAGGAAAGTGTTCTGAGTGAGGTGGGAGCCCTGTGATGCTGGACATTAATTAAGACCAGAGCAGGTGGCTGTGACTGTCGTAGCTTAGAAGTCAGGACCTTCGGCCGCCTCTGACAGCTGCAGATTTAGCTGTTTTTCTTTTTTTTTTAAGCTGAAAGGGCTAAAAATTAAAAACTAGTGACCAACAGATGAGCTGCTTTTTTGAAGGCAAGAAGAACGCAGAGGTCCTCTGTTGGTTTCCTGGCTGGTGGTGTGTGTGAGTGCGTGTGTGCGCGTGCGTGTGTGCATGTGTGTGTGTGTGTGTGTGAACTGTGCGACCTTCCTGGCTGGTGGTGTGTGTGCATGTGTGTGTGTGTGTGAACTGTGCGACCTTCCTGGCTGGTGGAGGCTGCAGAAGCCCGACCCTGGGTCCCATGGCTTGAAGTGAGGTAGGTCCAGCACAGTGTCCCTTCTGGACCCCCGAGGTTTTTCTGGTACCAGGGATCGAATTCAGGACCTGTGCTCGACAGGCAGGCGCAGCTCCACTGAGGCATAAACACCCCTGGCTGGACCACTGAGTTTTTAAAATTTTTACTGATATGCAGAATGTGTTAAGCTTTATACATATAATGGAGCTCAGTGTCTGCTGCATCCCAAGTGCTAACAAAAGCTCTAGTAGTGAAGAATGGCAGCGTGTCATTTTATAATAGTCAGCACTCTGGCTTTTCAAATTTGGTTTTCAGAATTTATCTTCAAGTAAATCTAGTCACGCTTTTAAACACTGCTTTAGGTCACTCCAAGCTTGGCAGTTAACATATGGCATAAACAAGAAAATAATCACAATCTGATGAATAACAGATAGGCCTGGGATTTAGCTCAGTGGTTCTGCCGGTTGCCTGCCTCTCAAGCACAAGGTCCTGAGTTCATTCCCCTGTACCAACACACACACACACACACACACACTCGGGCTGGAATGTACCTGACAGTGAAGGCCCTAGGTAGGTTCAATCTCCAGTACCTCAAAAAGAAAATGAGATAAATAACAGATAACATTGTAGGCCTTAAACACACAGCACAAGGAAATGGCGGTGATGGTGCAAGTCAGTAGTTATGAAGTCACTACAGTACCTTGGCCTCGACGCAGGCCGTTTGAGTCACCCGGCTGGATACCCAGTTTTCAGAGTGGGAGCACAGCCTACAGCATCACTTCTAACACCGCAAACACGTAGAGAATGAGGAATTTGTTTTTATTAATAAATTACACCCTCGGCAGTTATGACCAACACCTTAGTATGAAGATGTTCACATTATATCAGTCATAACTGTGGGCTTACTTTAAAAGGTGCTGAATGGATTAAACGGAGACAGCAGTGCTTCCCCTCATGTGATTGATCTTACCGTGTTTACAGCTTTCGAGACCTACAACACTTCACACTGATGCGCACACTCATATTTCAGCCTGATGTGCTCGACTCTGTTACTCGGTCAACTGCTCATTTTCCCTGAACTTAATGCCCCTCCCCTTTTGGTACCGGGGATTGAACTCGGATCCTTCTGCTTGCAAGGCAGGTGGCACCACTGAGCTAAACCCCCGGCCCTACTCTGAAATTAAAGTTGTAGTATTTAGACCACTGAGTTTTGACATACATTTTTCGGTAGCCAGAAAACTATTTCTTTAGACAGAATATTGCTCCGAAGGCCAACAGTTAAAACAACAGCAGCAGCAGCATAACGAGGGTGGAGGATGCGGCTGTAGTGGTAGAGCGCCTGCCGGGCGTGTGAGTCCTCAGCACTGTCAAACCCAGCCGAGCCACGGTGGAGCGAAGCCATAGAAACGTGTGTGGGTGGTGACTCAGATCTCGCCCCAGAGATATTTGACGTGGGAATCTGGGTACCGGGCAGATCCCCTTGTTTCCGTGTTGGGCGGTGTGGGGTTTCCCTGTTCAGCCCCCAGATCTCTCTGTCTTTTCTCTGTCTCTCTGTCCCTCTCATCCGCTGTGCTTGGGCCCCACTGCCAGCCAGAGCGCGTGCTCCTGGCCGAGCCAGCTGCCCCTGGGCCTGGTCTCCTGAGTGTCATTTTGGCTGACGTGCTCTGATTAATGCCATGCCGGCCACATGAGCCGCCAGCAGCAGGGGCCAGGGAGCGTTCCTGACAGTTGCCTTGGGCCGGGGCGCAGGGCTGCAGCCTCGGTGCCAGCGTCTCTGTGGCATGGCCTTGAAGGGAGGCCTGAGATGCGACAGACGGTGACTCCTTTTGCGACTCTGCCCTTGATGTCTGAAGCAACTGTCATTAGAGGCTGCTGTCTGGGCACACTTTGAAGCAGAGGTTAAGTCACTGTGGGTTCGTCTCGGAGACCGGTACAGGCCCTGAGTGATCTTGGTCTTGAGGTTCACTCCTTCCCCGTCCTCCGAGCTCCCCCTACGTGGTGTTGGAGGCCTGGGTGCTCACTCCGGCGTAGTGGACATGTTCTCGGTGATCACGGAAGCCGACGCCGAGCCCGTGCTTGTCCCCTGTGTCTGTCCGCAGAGCCTCTTCCGGTGTGGGGCCTGCGCGTGGCCTTCATGGGGCGCACACAGGTTGTCCTCACCTGGGGCAGCGACAGCAGCACTGCCTCCTGCCGGCTGCTTCTTGAGAGCATCGGAAGCCAGCAGATGCTGACCAGCATTCCAGACCTGCGGCCCGGGTTTCAGCGAGTTATTCTCAGTCTCCCAGGATCGGACGAGGCGCAGAGCGAACCCCCGGTTACCCCAAGTGGCTCAGGTGAGATTTGACTTCCTGTAACTTAGCAGATTTAAAAAATATTGTTCTTGGGTTGTGTCGGCTTCAGAGGTAGAGAGGTGGTTAGGGCCCTCGCTGTTTACAGAAGGAAGGAGGCGCCCGGTGCAGGACGGCGGAGCTTGGCGCCCAGGGAGGCGGAGGGCCTGGAGCTTTGCTCTTCCGCTGCCACACAGCAGGCCCTTGCGGGGTCCGTGAGGAGCGCACCCCATCCCGTTAGGAAAGGGGCACCAGCGGGCAATGTGCTGATTCCGCTGTGTGTCCGGTGAGGTGAGGAGGGCACGGACGTAGGCCCCACTTCCCCTGAGGGGACCGAGCTACTGAGTGGTGTCAGGGCTCTTGACTGCGAGAGGCAGACGGAAGCCAGACTTCACACGACTTCCACTAAGAGTGTGCCCGGCACAAGACGGCCGCTCTCAGCTCTCCTCTCTGCGGCCCTGCCTCCGTGCGGCCGGGGGAAGTGATCCTCCAGTGGGCTTTTCTTAGCCAAGTTGGAACCACGGAGCTGGCCCTGGAAAACCCTGTTGGGTTGGGAGAAGATCCTGTCCCAGAGGAGGAAAATGGTCCATCATGGGTGTGGTGGTGCACACCTGTCATTCCAGCGCTTGAGAGGCTGAGGCAGGAGGATTGCTGTGAGTTTGAGGCCAGCCGGGGGTACATAGCAAAACCCAGTCTCCAAAAAACAAAATACATAAAACATGGTCCAAACTAGCAGAGTGGAGAGAGGCACAGCGTGTCTGGGTGTCCTAAGCGGAAGGACAAAGTGAGATACGGGGTGTTCCGGAGAGCAGACCGCTCCCGGGGAGGCAGGAGCAGGTGTTTGCGGGGTGTCGCCCTGGCCCGAGGGTGTGTCATCGGGTGGTTGAGGTCCTTCTCTCTGCCATGACAGGTGCCGGTGGCATAGTGAGCAGCACCCCCATCCCTGCGTATTGGAGCCTGGAGCACACAGGCCTGGACTCCGACCTGGAGACCCGAGACACAGAAGTCCTGATCGCGGGGCTGCAGCCCGACGCGCACTACAGCGCCGCTGTGTACCCTCGGGCGGCGGACAGCACAGAGGGACAGCCGCGGGGCGTGGAGTTCCAGACAAGTATGTGCGCTCGCTCTACCTCCCTGGGGTGGGAGCTGCCTCGCTGAGCAGCCAGCCCCGTCCTGGGAGAGACTCTGGACCTTGGGGACCCGGGGAGCCCTGTCCTGCTTGGCCTCTGTGGTGTGGGAACTCAGGAGGACGTGGGCAGCTGCTTCCTGTGTGTCACCCCTGCCTCTGAGAGGAGCTGCAGTCGGCTGGTGCGATACTTCAGCATGGGCAAATCTCCCCCTTTCTGGCCTCCTTCAAAATCTGTGCTCGCTTTCTGTCGCCGTCCACTGCGGTGCTCAGGGCCGAGTCCTCCTGACTCTTCAGTCTCAGCTCTGGGACCCCGCTGGGATTCACGGGTGTCTTGGCCCTACCCCATGGCCGAGACACCGTGCCCAGCACCCAGGCTCCCAAGAGGAGAGGTTGGTTTTGGTTCAGGGTTTTGGTCCAGGGCTGGCTCCCAGGCAGCCAGGAAGTGGGGAGGGGGGACCCGAGCACCCAGGGGACCCCTCCGCCAGGCCCCCTTCTGAGGGCTCAAAGCTGACTTCGCCATGAGGGTGGTGCCCACATGGGAGGCTTTGGCTTGGTGCTGATGAGAGAGAACAGAAATGCACAGTCCTTGCTCCCAGGAGCCTGCACTGGGGACAGGGGACTCAGTGTGTTGAGCACATGGTTAGGCCCCGTGAGCCTAACCATGGGACAAATGTCTCAGTGTCACCACCCTGGGGGCTTGGTGGCAGGAAGTGTGAACCAACTGGGATCCCCTTACCAAGCAAGGCTGGCATGGGCTCCATGAACTGAGGCCCTAAAGTTGGAGGCTCGCAGAGCGGGAACAGAAAACAGCCTGGCACCAGGAGACCCTGGAAGGCTGGGCCACACTCATCCAGGGACAGCCTCAGATTCACAGTCCCTGGGGGGAGAGTGTTTCACACACCTGCTGGCCTGGTGGCTGTGCTGGGAGAGGGAGGTGCTGTCCCCCAGCAGCTGTGGGTGACAGCCCTTCCTACCCAGGAACTTGCAAGCACTGTAGGCTGCTGAGGCAGAAGAGTCACAAGTTTGAGCCCAGCTTGGGAAACTAAATGATTTAGCAAGACTCTGTCTCAAAATAAAAAATAAAAAGGGCTGGGGGTGTAGGTGAGGGCAAAGGCCCTGGTTCAATGCCCAGGCCCATGAAACCAAACCAATCCAACCCAGCCCAACCCAAACAAAAACTACCCAGCGGCACCCAGCTGGGAGGGTGGCCTAGGGTCCCAGGCCCCAGATGCTGAGGACTGGAGATGGAATGAGGGAAGGCGGGGTAAGGAGGGAGTGAATTTGGTGACATCCCGAGGACACTGCTTGTTCCAGAGGCCTGGGTTTAATTTCTGGATGATGCTAGGTGTGAGAATGATCTCTCCCGTGCTCTTAGAGAAAGGAGAGCAGTGGGGCTTAGGAACCCTGCACATGTCCAGACCAGACTGGAGAACCCAGGCAGGAAGTTGGTGAAGGTCAGGCCAGCCAGAGGAAGAACAGCTTTCCTGGTATCTGCCTGGGTCGCCTCCCTTCTTTCCTTTCCTCTGGTAACGCGCACGGTGTAGGAGAGATGCTCAGGAGCTGCCCCGAGCCGGCGGATGGCAGGGGGCACAGCTTGGTCCCCAGAGGGGAGTTCTGAGGAGGAGGCAGGGCTGCTGCATGGGGCTGTGGGCTGTGGAGGGTCCCCCTTGGTTGACAGGCGAGGGATTGCCCTTACCTGTCAGGCCCGGGCCGGGTCCCTCCAGAGGAAGGTTTGGAGTGTTCCCCACAGGATCACTGTGAGTCTTGCTCCCCATGGTAGCCATGTTCAGAGGTGGGGGAGATTGGATCACGAGGACTCGATTCTCATCCGTGATTAATTAATTCATTGATGGATCAATACATGGATTAATAAATGGATTCCTTCATTGACAGGTTCACAATTTGATGGGTCATGTTGGGAGGCAGTGGGAACTTAGGAAGTGAGCCTAGCTGAAGGGAGAGGCCCTTGGAGGAGTGGCCTTAGGGGCTGTATTTTGTCCCTGGCCCTGTCCTTCCTCTGCTTCCTGGGCTCCATGAGGTGAGCCTCTTTCCTCCGCCACCCCTTCCACTTCCACACAGGCCCAGGGATGAGGGAGCCAGTCATGGACGGAAACTGTGAAACGTGGGCCAGAGAAGTGATTTTCTCAGGCATTTTGTCACAGGGTTGAAGCACTGATGGACGCAGGCCTTCTTGACTTGCTAAAAGGGGTCCTGTGGGTTAGTGTGGGCCTTAAGTTAAATTGCTTTTTAAAGAAATTTACATGAAAGTAAAGAAGTAATGATTGTATCTCAGGCTCTTGGTGGTCTGAATACAAACATATCCTGGCATGTGTTTAAATAGCTTAGCACTTCATAAATAATTATTGCATATCCTGTTTTGTGTATGTGAGAGAGAGAGAGCGCAAGCACACACAGTTTAGTCAGTTTTGGCTGCCATAACAAGTTACCAAAACCAGGGCAGCTTTCAGCCTGTGAGTGTAGAGGGACAAATATTCAGCCTGTTGCAATACTCACACATATGTACACAGGCACGTACGTGCGATGTGTGTGCACACTCACGCACACACGCACACTCACGCACACACCCCTAGTGCCTGGCATTCTGTAGGTGACTGGCGAGGTGCAGCAGGGTCAAGGACACCTGGAGCCCAGTATCTTAGTTACCTTTTCTCGTGGCGGAGACAAAATACCCGAAATGCAGAGTTAGAGGAGGAAAGCTTTATTTAGCTCACAGTTTGTAGGGGTTTCAGCCCAGAATTGGCTGGTTACAGGGCAGGGTGGCACAGCAGAGGGGCACTGCAGAGGAGAAACAGTTCATGGCAGGCAGAAGGCAGCAAAAGCAAGCGAGCAGGGACAAGGGACAAGCCTCTTTCTGTCCCTTGTCTTATCCAGGCTATGCTCACACCCGTAACCCTAGCACTGCACCATGAATCAATCCCAGCGTCACAGACCCTAGATCCAGCCACCTCTGAGAAGCTCCCCCACGACCCCATGAGGCACTGGGGGACAGCTAGACAGAGCCCTAACACCCTGCAAGAGTGGAGCCTGGGAGGACGCGTGACCGGCAGGGGTGATGGATCTGGACCTCAGCCCGGGTCGTGTCACTCAGTGGCTCCTGCTCCCTGGTGCTGCATCGTGTGGGGCTCGGCCTCCTGGGGCACAGGGAGGGGCAGGGTGAGCCATGTTCCTGCCGACCCTGTCTTTGGGGTAGGATTGTCACCCATTTCAGGCACCAAGAAGTTGAGCTTCTTGCCGGGCAGTGAACGCGTGGCTGGCCCGGAAGCACGTGTGTGACCCGCATTCATGGTGGAAGGGCGGCGTCACACTCAGGCACATGGCTGGGGACGCTTCTGGTCGCTGTGCCAGGGCAGGGCACGCGATGGTCCCTGTAGCGTTGAGCGTGGAGCGTCATTTCCTGGACAGGCAGCTCACGGGGCCCAAGGGTCGCCTGGGCGGGCTTGTGGCCGGGACCCATGTTGGCGCCTGGTCCTGGGTGAATGGGGACGAGGGGTGGGCGCTGAGTGGTTCACAGGCTGCGTGGCGCACGCTGGTGACCGCGGTCTCCCCTCCTGGCGCGGCCATCTTTGTCTTCGCAGACTCCGAGCAGGTGTTTGACATCAGGGCCGTGAATGTCAGTGCCACGAGCCTGGGCCTGGCCTGGAAAATGCGGCACAGCGGGTCGTCCTCTGCCTACACCTATGGGGTCCACGTGGCCGGGGACGCTGAGTCCTTCAACCTCACCACCCAGGAGCCTTGCGCCGATGTTGCCGAACTCAGCTCGAGCACCCTGTACCGCATCACCGTGCACCCCCTGCTGCGAGGGGCGGTGGGCACGCCGGGGTTCCTGCAGGTGTACACCCGTGAGTTTGCCGCTGCCTCCTGCCCGTCCTGCGTGGTAGCCTCGCAGGTCCCTGGGGCCCCCTACCCCTCAGGGCGGGGGACAGAAGAACAGCTGCCCTTGCCCACGCGCCCCGCAGCCCTGTGATGTGGGTGGCGTTCGCCCCTTCTTTTGGCCGAAGAAGCCAAGGCGGGGAGAGGGGCTGTAGGCGTGTGTCACACGGGGACAGCGGAGGCCAGGTGAAACCTCTGCTCTGTCCCTGCTCCTGCCCGGGAGTGTCAGCTCTTCTGCTGGGGTAGGGACCAGGGGGAGAAGGAGGACCCGGGTGCTCACGTCCTGGTGTCCCTGGAACGTCGGTGGTGGAAGGGAGCGGGTTGCTTACGTGTCCCGTAAGGGTGAGCTGGTCGGTGGGCCGCAGGCACAGCACTTCCTGTTGGAACGCAGGTCACAGTGTGGCGTGGCGCTGGAGTAGGGCCTGGGTGCACGGCCGCGTGGCCGCCGGCACTGCAGTGGTCTTCAGGGTAGGCGCTGGGCTCCTGTTACAGATGAGAAAATGTCAGCCCAGCACGGCTGAAAATTGGCCCAAGTCCACTGAGCCAGCAGATGGCAGAGCAGGGTCTGGGACCCAGGAGTGCCTGGTGCAGGGCCCGGGCTCACCCTGCAGGAGTCCCTCAGCCAGGAGCCTGGGTGTCCCAGCCCACACTTGCCTGCTGCCTCCTTACCTGGTCTTCTGTGCTGGCTCTAGGGAGAAGATGAGATCTGCTTACATTTCTTCACCTTTGGCTTTTTTTTGGGGGGGTACTGGGCATTAAACTTGTTTTGGGGGCCAAGAGCAGCCTGTGCTGCCCCCCTGTAAACAGAGGCTCAGGGAGGCTCAGAAATGCATCAGGAGGAAGCAGCCAGCAGGGCCAGCGTCCCCTCCAGAGCCCGTCCTCGGCCTGCCTGTCTCCTCTCCTCTCGAGTGACTCTGGCAGTGTCTGCAGTCCCGTGGCCCGGGTGTTGCAGTTACGATCGGAAGGGGAGCGGCGAGCTCACTGTCCTCCGCGGGCCGTTGTCCGGGTCGGTCGGTGTGGGGGCTGTGACGGCTGTCACCGTCTCCCGGGTCGCGGACCCTTCACTCACCTCGTCTCTCCACAGCCCCTTCTCCGGTCTCTGACCTCCGAGTGCTGAAGGTGGGCCCGAGGGAGATTGACCTCGCTTGGCACAGCAATGACTCAGAGTCCTTTAAGATTGTCACAACCAGGGAGGGATCTGGAGAATTTCACAGCCAAATAGTCCGCCTTGCAGAGGCGCTCATCCGGGACCTGAAGCCTGCAACCAGCTACTGTTTCACAGTGTTCCCGCTAGGACCCAACGGGACCCAGGGGGAGCGCACGGGCATTTGCAGTCAGACTGGTAAGTGCGTGGCTGTGCCATTGCCAGACGGTGGCTGGTTTGTAGGTGTTGCGTCTTCCAAATATTTTTCTTTTAATTAGGGAAAAATCTTAAAAATAACTTATGAGCATAGTGTTATTCAGTACAGAGCAGCAAAAACAAGAGCAAAAAAATCAGCAACCGGAATGAATCTCTGATACAGTTTTAGCACACACACACACACACACACACACACACACACACACACACGTGCACAGACCTTGCGGCTCTGGGATCACGTGCCAGCTCGTTGTCTTTCCAGTGTAAGCGCTGCGCCAAGTCACTGGTGCGCCTGCCTTGGTCACGTGGTCTGACCACCAGGGCTGGTGGGTGATAGTGGCCCACCGTGTGTTTTGTAGCTACAGTTTTACTGACACACAACCCTGCTCGTGCTTTTTCTTTCTTTCTTTTTTTGGTACCGGGATCGAACTTGGGACCTTGCGCTTGTGAAGCAGGCAGCGGGACCACTGAGCCAAATCCCCGGCGAGACAGGCAGATCTCGAAAATATTATGTCAAGTAGAGTACGCCAGGCACAGAACGACAAATAACGTGGCTTCACTTATTTGAAGCGCAGGTTCATCGAGGCCGAAGGAGGAATGAATGGAAGTCATCATAAAGGAGAGGGAAATGGGAAGTTAGTGTTTAGTGAACTGTCTGGGCCACTTTCCCAGTGGTGAGACGCAGTACCCAGCACCCACAGCTTAAAGGAGGAGAGGTTTGTTTTGACTCACGGCTCCAGTCTGTGCGGTTTGGCTCCAAGGCCGGAACAGGTGGGCGGAGGGGCCTGGCGGAGGGAATCGTGCTCATCCTGTGGCGGCCAGGAGGAGCCGGGGACGAGCATGCGCCCTCCCAGGCCACGTCTGCCGACGTCTGCAGCCAGGCCCCACCTCCTGACAGCACATTTGGCTGTAAGCTCATCGATAGAGGATCCCGCTGGCCAGTCCAGCACCCTGGAGCCCGTCCCTCCGCACACATCCACATTCTGGAGACATCGTAGATGTCACTGAGGTCATACTGAGGATGACAGGAAGGTTTGGGCTGTGATGATGGTGATGGTTGCACAGCATTGGGGTGTCTTCCATGCTACCCAGATGTGTACTGGCGGGTGGTTAAAGGTGGTAAAATATGCATGTTTTGTAACAAAAGGAAGAGAAGTACACTTTACCTTTCTAGCGCCGTCGAATGCCCTTTCTCTCCGTGGTCGTGTTTCCTTACGTCGCTGTAGGTGTTGTCCTGGTCGCCTGCTTGTGTGTGGGCTCTGGTTTTCCCCGAGTCCACCCCACCCCAACTTCCTGTAGGTGCCTTACTGCGTGTGAATGCTTCCTCCGCGGCCGCTCATGGTTCACAGCCTCTCCCTCTTTGGAAGGGAGAGTATTCAGGTTACTGCTCTTTCTGTTTATGGAGAAGTCTGCCCCCGTTAGTCTTTTGCCTCTGGAATCCCTTTGATCTCAAGGAGTCTGGGGGCAGGGAAGGGCCCTCTGCAAGCTGCTTCCCTTAGGAAGAGCCTGCTTCAGAGGCCCGGGATTTAGCTCAGTGGGGCCGCTGCCCGAGTTCGATCCCTGGTACCAAAAAAAAAAGAGCCAGCCTTAAAAGTGATATAATTCGTTTTGGGTTAGACAGGACCGGGCATGCATGTGCCACTTTCACAGTGAGAATATTCCTCTCTCCTGTCCCATCCCTGGAGGTGACCTTGGTCACTAGGAGAGAGGAAGGCAGTCCCCAGCACCTCGCTCCGTTTCCGCGTCCTTCTTCAGTGGCTGGGCTTGTCCCGGGTGCGTTTCTTCTGAGTGAGCGGTTTTGTCAAACAAACTCTTTACTGAGCTGCGAGGTCCATGCCCGAGAGTGCAGCCCATGCACTCGGGGTAGCAGCTCAGGTCGTTCTGATGATAAAAGCGGGAGATGGGGAGCTTGTGGCTCGACCAGCACCTCGCTCCGTTTCCGCGTCCTTCTTCAGTGGCTGGGCTTGTCCCGGGTGCGTTTCTTCTGAGTGAGCGGTTTTGTCAAACAAACTCTTTACTGAGCTGCGAGGTCCATGCCCGAGAGTGCAGCCCATGCACTCGGGGTAGCAGCTCAGGTCGTTCTGATGATAAAAGCGGGAGATGGGGAGCTTGTGGCTCGAAAGTTTCAGAGGTGCGCGAGAGCGAGTTCTGCCAACGCGGACCAAGCTGGTCCTACACCGGCCCGACCCTTCCTCCCTCCCTTTCCAGCCTCCAGCGCCGTTTTCGGCCTCCGCGTGGTCACCGTCACCAGCACGGGGATGGAGCTGGAGTGGCAGAACACAGACCCGGCCTCCGAGTACGTGTACCGCGTGCTGGTCCAGTCGGCCTTCAACTCCAGCGAGAGCCACAGCTCCGGGAGGGCCGCCTCGCTGGGGG